TAAATGGTTCTCATTGTTTTTGCTTAATTGTGGGTGCATTTAATAAATAAATTAACGATGAAATGTTGAAAGGAAAGTTTTGATGCAATTCGTTAGAGTGGATATATATTCGGTACTCAAATGATATTAGACATTTTAAAGTTCATAATTCAACTCGGGTAAAATGTAAATTAACCGAAACAAAGAGAAACGGAAGTAGAATTAGATCTGAGTAAATTACAGAAATTGTTTTCATCGTGAAATTCGCGGCAACTGATTACGCTGTCTGTTTTAAGCGAATTGATAACTTTGTTATTGCTATAATAATAACTATTATTATTTATACATGGCATAATGATATATTAAAATGTCTTATGAAGAATTAAAAATATTTGACCAAACCTCCATATGAAATGAACGAAAGCCATATGAATGGATTTCGTATCGGTATCAGTAATGGTAATATAATTTTTGCCGGTAAGTTTTTTAGTATTGATTTGAACACATTGCGCGATTGGATTTAATTGAATTTCTGAGCGTTATTTACCAACTATTGCTATTCAGTACACAACATTTTTCATAAAACCTTTTTGTTAATGCAATGCGGTTGTTAACTCTCAATAATTTGTACAAATACGTAAAATCTAAATTTACCATGTAAATATTATTTTTTGATGTTATAACATACAAATTGCATAACATTTTTAATTTCAATATTGATTTTGGTTCGTTATTTACCTACCTACTCAATAATATATATATGTATATATATATATATAGGTACGCAAGACATATCATATAAAAACAAATAATTGAAAATTAATTTGGATATAAAATTGTACCTATTGATATATTATGTATTTATTTTATCATACCCACGGTGTTGATTTTTTTTTCGGGATATTGAAATTAAACTATCAAATATAATATTTGTTTTCATTTATTATATAATTGTATAAGAATCTTCAAGTCTAATTTTAAATACTGTACATCAGGTGTTAGCAACCTTTTTAATTTAAAGAGCCGAAAGTCATATGTAATTTAATTTATTTAAGTTCAGAATCCTTAGGTATATTCATTTAACAAGGTACCTATCTACAAAAAAGGATTTTTAATCCACTGTTTCCGGTYTATACTATCTTAGTTTGTGGTTTTTATACTTAAATTACTATTTCATATTTGGATGCAAATTATAAATTGTATTGGTGGGCCAAATAAAATTGTTGTGGGACTGCGAGTTGCCAACCCTTTTTGMTTTACATTCATAAATTATCRTAAATATAAACAATCTATAATAACGGATATATTATATATTATATTGCAGCATAATGCCATAATACATTATAAATAAAGATTATTATTATTATATRTTACTTAACTACCCAGAGAATGTCGTTTTCTACGGCGGTTTATTCTCAAAAAAAAATTTATAATCAGTAACACCTTCCATTCGTACTTGATTTATATTTAAGCAACACCACAACCACAAAAAAAAAAATTGAAGAATCATATAGATTTTAATAATCACCTATTCACAATAAATATACGGTCCTGCATTTTTATTTTTTATAAGGGGACTTACAAGATTCCACACGCAACGTTTTCATGCTAGAAAACACGTATAWAACTATAAACATATTATTTTAACGTACATATACTATCATTTTGTCTAATATACGTTTCTTCCGTTTCGAAAACAAAACTTTTGGAAAAATAATATGATTTTTATTTAGGTACCTATACATTGTTGGATTTGTCGTAACTGATATTAAAGATATTATGACTTGGAATGAATGGTATGATAACCTTATGATTAGACTGATATACATATTATTATGTTTTGTAATTATAACAGGTTTTTGCCGAAATTTCAAGATATTAAATTTACCGATTGAAAACAATGGTATTGGTAACGTTGCATAAAAAATCATACAGAATCAAAAATCGTGTACTTATATAATATATTATACACATTATCAAGTTTGTGAAATAGTGCTCTACACCAAACGTGAAACGACATGATATTTAGATTTTAGGGTAAGTTTAATCATGGATTATGTCACCGCCGCTTGACAAAAAAATAACCTCACACATATACATATTCACTACATAATTTATCGTTTAGTGTCTAAATTATTATAGCAAACTATATGGGCACATTTTACCTCACTATCACATAGGCGTTGAATGGAGAGAGGGTTAGGTGGATATAGCCCTCCTCTTCCCAGAAATATGTTAAGCCCCCCCCTCTCAGAATTTTGTCCGTGTATGAGAACTGAAATATTTTTTATTTAAAAAAAAGCCCTCCTATGTAAATTCATCATGCTACGCCTTTGCACTTTCAGTGTATGATATCCTTAGCACCGGAATCGTGTTTACTCAATGGAAATCGCACCCGGCGAGTATATAATAATAAATATAATATTACGTACTATAATAKCATAACTGTCTGCGCACGATTCAAATCAAATTAACGCGCGTAAATTATAATATTATTATCGTTATCATTGTTATTAGGTACTACGACGGCGATCGTGTCGATTCACTTTAACAACAATAACARTAAAATAGCCGTCGCACAGTCTTCGGTGGGGTGTGTGCGGGGATTGTCGGATGATGAGGACATGGAGCTTGTCGGACTCGTGCTCCGTGCCAGTAGCTCTTCTCGCGGACCGTCGAAACCGAATTATTCGGTAACCTGAGACCACCGCCGGTGTACCAGGCGGCACGTGTGCGCGCGCCCGCGTGTGTGTTTGTGTGGTGCTGCAGCACGTGCGCGCTTGTCACCGAACAGAAAACTTTTCCACGTTAATAACACCGTAATGCCGACGATTGTCTCCGCTGCCGGTCGAGGATTTCGAGAACATGCAGTGATCGTTTTGTCCTCCCAGGGGCGCGAGAAACAACAGTCATAATAATAATAATAATAATAATATTAGAATATAATATATTATATTATATATACGCGCATTGCACGACGAGGGTGGGCGCGGTCGCGCGCCGGAAGATTGACATGTGAATCGCTTTTGCTAAAACAATATTATATTATAATACACACGACTGGCGATCATTAAATTTCGAGTATTACATACGTCTTATATATACAAACATTATAATATCGTGCACAACCTTTACGGTTCTAACTATTTAATTCCCCCTCCCCGGATCCGATCTCCACGAGGATAATTATTATTATTTTATCGTAATCCTTCACATCAGTCGTCGATTTGGCTAATTTGTGGTTGTAAAGAATTATAAACAAATTATAATGAATTAAACAAACACATTATTATAGTCAGTGCCGCCAYTAAAATTATTGCTCTTCAAAGATTGAAACAATAAACATCTCGTAAAACTCGCATATTATATTAAAATTTATGAGGTGGGTACCTACTCAAAAAATACTGCAGTACCTATTCCAAACGTGTGCTACAAATACAAGAATCTTGCAATGCGCAGAGAAGTGAAATACGACAATGTAYATTTTTTCAAATGGTATTTGAGGACGCAATAAATTAATTAAAGTAAAAAAAAAAAAAACCGTAAATAATAAACTGAAATTATTGAAAAGATATTAACATCTAGATCATTTATAAGCTTTGTGACATGACTAACGTGTACTTATACGAATTTATTAATRGAATTCTAAAAATGTCTATTGAAATATCTATGAAAAAACCCACCGAGATTATGTCAGAGTAAAGAAAAAATTACTGATACTAAAGTTGTAAAGAAAGTAAATAGGATGTAATAAAAGGAACCAATAGGGCTGGCAGAACTAGGAAAATAAACAAGATAAATGGAGAGTTTGGACAGATAAAATAGATTATGTAAGTTTGAACTATGTATTACACATAAACGTTTTTTTAGATAGTTTCGATACTAGAAGAAAAAAAAGGAAATTCAACGCCACCAAGAATTTAAAAAGGCTTTAGTAAAAGTCTGAAAGAATTGTTCGTGGATATAATTATATATTATAATAATTAAAATCTTTATTTGCATTACAAACAACTATAATGGAAAAGGGTTTATACGTTATACACACCATATTTTATATAGTGATTGTAATACTATTAACGCCATTAAAATATAAGCGTCACAGTTTTGTGTAAAAACATGTTAATCAAAATGCATATACACATGGTACATAATATACACACCTCTTGATCTATAGAATATGCTCTCTTGGGAAATTAAGAAATGCATGTATACCRCGTTACTTACAATTAGCTTAATTTTATCATATCATGCATTATATATATATATACACGTATGAAGTAAGAGGGGAGTTGGTGGAACTTTATATAAATTATCTACTCATTATCCTTTAGAGAGTATTAAATTATCCACACATAACATATTTAAATTCAAATTAATGTGTTGTTCGAAACATCTATAGTATTTATTTTACAATTAACGTAAGATAGAATATTATACATACGACATTATTACCTACATAATAACACGATGTGTTCATTTTGATGGATACATTTCAAAACTATATATTGTGAATTCAAATCAAGTTTAATAGTGATTTTTTTTTTGTAATGGTTGATTTTCACGTTTTATTTAATTTGTCAACGTAATCGATACGCGTACTTGAAAACCAACTCGATGTATATAATATRATAATGCGATTTTACATAATAAATTAGCGATAGGGAGAAAAAACAAGTAAAAAAAGTTGGCTGCGACAACCACGTCACTGCAGTGAGAGCAACCCTTCAGAGAACACCCTAGTAGCGGGTCTTTTGTTCATTTTCGGACAATCTGCTAACACAACAATTTTGAGAGAGAAAAAGGGTAGCCTAGCCATAAGCCACACGYGTATATAACAAATACGTGTATACGCCATCTGTTTAGTGGTTGGTATACACGTACGGGTCGTGTAACATAAATAAATAAAGCTCGTTGGTTTTTTTTTTTAACACGAATGACCCGCAGGTATTGAACGAGTGAATGGTTTTGGTTTTTCGCAGGATCATGGTTAATCTTTTGACAAATTGCAGTAATTTACTCACCCTTCAGAAGAAAATGGAGTAAATATTGAATGATTGAATGTCGACGTTGCTACACTGATGGGTGGTCGGATTTGCGAAGGACTTAAGCTAGGCGTCGGCGAATCTGGCACTACAACTGCTCCATTCCTGAAACAAAAACRAAAAAACTTTTTAGAATTCAATAATATCACAATATACACTATACAGGCATGAAAACATTTAAAATATTCACGTTCTTAAATTATTGTTGTACTATRAAAAATGCAATCATTACTATATAGCATTATTATCTYCATTGTCACTTGAGGAAAAAACGCGTGTCAGTGTATATGTTCTATCACCAGCCATTCAAATTGATTGTTTAATTGGCTCAATTACCAAGTATAATTTGAATTTATCTTCACTTAAACTGCATTACGATTTATTAACAACAATTGGACGCGTGGCATAACAAGCGCTACACACCATTTCGAATCGAATGAAATTAGCCAAGGACACTTGTCATTCGGTTTAATGGCATATTATTTTATGTACGCTGCATCGTATGATATGCTTATTACATAAAATAAAAAGGGGATTATTTTTATTTATCTAACACTTTACTCATCGATACTAGATAGTAATTTATCGTCAAAATTTGAAACGAATCAAGTCATACCACAATGTGTTACATAACTGGGTACCTAAATATTTTTGTGGAACTGATTAACTTCAAACGAATGGTGCACTTTTCACTTTTCACTGGTAAATAATATATATCAAACTGCAGCATACGAGTCAAATCTGATCAATTTGGTACAAAAAAAAAATTACAACTAAKGAAAAGCGAATTTAACTATAGGTACCATAATGATTTATGTTTGATTGTCAATTGATATTAAAATATATAGGTAGGCAGTAGGTACCTAATTAATCAAAGTAATAATACGTGATTTTGTATAATGATTTATATTTATAGTATAATATATAGTTCTTTAACCTATACAAGCTATAATACTTTAAATTGATCATCGCGTATAGATTCAATAAAAACAATTTAATTATGATATGTACCWWSCRKGMKGKAYSTACTTAAGATCATATTATTACTATTAAAATATATACTACATTAAATATTCCATCATAACAATAATCTYTGTATATTATTATTTATTATTTTTTTTTTTTTTAACGGGAGGTAGGCATTTAAAAGAATAAATTATTTTGCGGTACATAGATAAATAATCATTGCAATCGTATTTTAGTAARTACAATTTTTTCTAACTTAGGTCAAAATTATATGGTCCGATAGGTTTCACCATATGCGACTATATCCTGCTATCCGACATTTCACRGAAAACATAGTATTATAAACTAACCCTGTTGGCGACGGGGACGTTGGCGTATCGTCTGGACCGCCGTTCATGCCACAGCTGGCAGGTGATTCGCTTCGGTCCGATATGTGAACAGTACTGGTACGTGCATCTTCATCTGGCTCGCTGCCACTATGTCCATCGTCTCTCTGTTCGCCTTCTATTGCGCTAGCCTATACACATCGAAAGATGATAATGATTATACAACACTACAATAGTACATTTATACAAAGGGAAAAAATAAATATTAAAACACAAATATTATTACTATCGGATRAATGAGTTTTTTACAAGTCCGGCTAAAAAGAATTATCGTGTCGGACGTCAGTATATATATTGTACTTGTTTTATTTTTCATTTTAAAACATAATATAATGGCGAAGTTATTTATGGTTGAAAAATGATCATCCGGAGGAAACTGTGGTAATACTGTCGTTTTTATTCGGTTTCATGATTTATGACCCGCGGGTCCGGTTAATAAATAATACATTACGTCCGTTGTGAAAACGAGCGTCGTAAAAAGAAGAAATGAAATAAATATGGCGCCGTCGACCATCTTGGTTAACTGTAAAGTCGGTTTTTTTCTTCTACAGTTCGCCTTTTTTTTTAATTTCCATTTTTCCTTCGTTTTTTTATTTCATTTTTTAATGTTTGTTTGTTTTTTAAGCGACAACTGGAAACTATTTGCTTGACATTAACGAAAAAGCGTTAAGAGATTATTAACTGGCGAAGTGGCGACAATAAATCAGCAGACGCGATGACAAGCGACTCGGGTGATAAATATATGAAGGAAAACCGCTGCGAACGCGCGTATAACGCCGTCGCGCAGTGTTCGGTTATACATTAAAAAGGGTTAAGATGACATCATTGTAACACCATAAATTTGGATATGCTCTTCGTAAAACACCTGAGTCAAATTAAACTTAACGGATAAATCAAAAACCCCGTCATCTCCCTCCATTATATTTAGGTTTGTTTGCCGAAAGGGTTTTCTATAAATAAATAAATCTACACGCGGTAAACACAACGTTCTGCACAAAGATTTGTGGCTGAAACCTCTTATTGTTATTGCATATTGTTTGCTGTTKCATTTGGTCATATTTCTCAAAAGATATATATCTTGCTAGGGGCTTCTCGAATATTATATGTATCATAAAACACGCATGTTTTTATGACAAACGGCTGAAAGCTTGAAAGTTTGTCCTTCCTGTTTTTGAACGAGACAACGTGATGTGCAAACAATTTATTATAAAATATAATATTTCATTATTTGTCTAAATTTTTGTTACCGTCAAACATAAAACTCTTAAGATATAAAATATCTCGTCGAAATACGCTACAGGGAAAGTATAATGTTTTTTTTTTAAAATTATTGTTAATAAACATACTTTTGTGGACGGTGAATGCTGCATATCTTTAGCCATATGATYCAGCTGTTCTTGCAATGAGCCAGATCTATCATGTTCTTCTCGTTTTCGTTGTTCTTCTTTCAGGCGTTCTGCTTTTCTCCATTTCGCTCTACGATTTTGGAACCAAACCTAAAAACAAAAACAAAAAAATTGTTAATACGTACCTGCATCTATTCATTTTTTTTTTCAATGAATATTGATTAAGATTAAATACATGAGAATCTAACATTAAATCATAACTTATAATTCATTGGAAATTATTTAAAATTTTAATATTATACGTATATAGTCTAGCAATAGTACAAACTTAAACTATCAAAAATTATTGATAACTTTAGCAGCTGACACTTATCGGTATAAYATATATTTTTATTAGAAAATAAACAATCTATATTCTATGYTAATGAAGCAYAATAATTAAATATGATGGCAAAACATACAGACGAGAAATGAATTAAACGATCGATTTTATTTTATTGTAGATTTATATTTGAGTAAGTCTCTACACCATTTTCGTTTCAAACGGCGTATAATATATTAAACCATTTTAATACTATTGTACAATAACAACAACGCACTTTTATATATATGGTACAAATACTTTTAATCGACATACGAAATTTTGACGTTATTGAAGCCCCTTTTCTAAAATTTCATAAAGTATATTGAAAATATTTATTCTCTTTTTATTTTTCCTGTTCCGTCAGTTTCCGACTTGTGAAACGTTGCTTAATAAATAAACGTCCACAAAACACACGCACGACGTCAAGGAGCCATCATTTGGTTTGTGTTGTCTTGCTCGCACGCAGGGTTTCTTCCACTCTACGACTGTTTAAAACTTTACCCGCGGTTATTGTTTGCTGCAGCCGCGCGAATACCCCGCACTCAGGACCATATCGGCACAGCCTATTCTMCGAATATAACCCATTTGGGAATCAAAATGCGCGGCTGTCAAATAAACATCAATAACACCAACGGGGTCGTGGTATCAATTCGTTAAGTGACGTAGAGTCCGCGCCGAAGCCACAAGAGACCCCCAAAGAACCCTTGAATTTTTTTTCAAGCATATCTCGCGTGCAACGCCACCGTGTGCGTAAGTATAAAGTAAGAAGTATGCCTCCAGGAAACAGCATGTATCTAAATGCTTGACACGAGTGGGAACGAATGTAGTTTTATTATTCGTCTGTGTTTAGTGCTTTGTTTCCAAGTGCGACTCTTACTTTACCGGTGTTATACCACGCAGTCGAGTGCAAGAGCCTGCATGCAAGAGCGTTTGAAAAATTACYTCTGTCGAAACAGACATAATTTGTACATGAGTTATAGTTTTAACGAACAACTACTGCAGATTTTCAGCCGCTGAGATTAAATGCTACTTTTGAATGGAAAATCTACAACTGGTCGGGGGGTATGGGTATAACAATTTGTTCGTCTTTAAAATATTAAAGAAAGAACACCGATAGACGCAAAGTGGAGAAAGAAAATGGAGTTGAGAAAGTGGAAATATTGTGTAATCTTTTTATTTATTATGGCATTTTTAAAGTGAGAATTTAAAATTGAAAAAAGGCATATTAATTAAGCATATAATATATATACTTTGATACCTACACTTTGTGGTACAGGTTTTAATTGGAATTTCCAAAATGATTATGAAAGTATTATTTAAATCATACAATTTTAATTCATTATACGTTTGTAATTAAAATGCTCTGTTTTTTCTATTAAAGAATTTAAATTTAAATCATTCAAATCCTTAGAAAAAAAAAAAAAATAATAATAATGATAAACGCGAGGATTTAAAAAATGTAATTAAAATTCGTATTTTATTAACGCGTATATTAACAAAAACGGTTACATGTATCATAATATAATACGTATATATAGTAGGTATACAATCGTTTTTGTAATACTAATAAATTTGTGCCATTTGTGGAATTAATAACAAAAATTTTTATTTTTATGTTTATCAATTCAAAAACTTTAAGAAAGATATAAACGAAACAAATATTGCAACGTATTATAGAGCATACATCAATATATGTTGAGTATACATATAAAAAATAATTTTAAAAAGGAAATCACAAAACGGATATATTACATAACCGAAATCTCTAAGGATTTTGTGGTCTCTTTAGGTGTACCGTATGTGCTGCATCGCATGAGACATTAATGGTCCRAGACAAGTAAAACTATATTGACATTTGGGTAGCCTATTAGCTGTCGGATTACATTGAAATCGAAAATCACCCCCAGGCTCCCTTAACCCTCGTTGGTTTAAAAAAAAAAAGAACCCTAATATTTTATGTCTGCTACACTGCTCTTCTACAGAGGTAAGATTTACACTCGAAATAATTCTAAAGATAAATTTATATATTTATACGCACGTATATAGTTTAGATGAGGTTGACTTTTTCAATTTTGTTTTCAATTTTATTTCACAAATCACCTGTGTTATTGCGTGATATACACATACAACATACGGTTTTATTTTAACGTGTTATTGTCAATAGTGGTTTGATTATAATTTATAAACTATAAAATTATTCACCTAATTAATTTTATATAAGTATTAAAGTACATTTATACAAGTATTTTAATACATATTAATAAACAGAATTTTGAATTAGAAGAAATTAATATAGTTTTGGAAATATAACGTCCGGTATTAATAAAGGTACGCTGGCTTAAAATTAATATCTGAGTACCTATGTATTATACTTTATTAGATTACGATTATTGAATTAAGCTTTAAAATACCATTAAATATTCAAAGTGTGTACATTTTGGTGTTTTATAATCAATAAATTGTTTATTGATTCCGATTTAATATTAAAATTGATAAAGCATAAATACCTTTGAAGTTAAAATAATATGTGAACCAAAAATGTAATTAATATTTTATTTATTTTGTTTTATATCACATGATTATATTGCAGTTATATGTAGTTCAGTATTAAAACAACTAAAAATAAATTTCACACTCTTATGAATGGGTACTAAATAAACAAAAAAATTTAAATTTACATTATTTTGTTCTTCTAAGACATTTTCAAAAATATAAATACTTTAAATATGTTTTTAAACATTTTTTGTCATTCAAAAATAAATTCATCAGATTATATATCACTATAGTGACAATATTTTGTTTATAGGTAAGTAAGTTAAAATATTATATTAGAAAAATTTTATTATTCTAATTCATATCAAATTATAATAAAAAAAGCATTAAATGTTTTTTTTAATTAGAYACAAATTACTTTAGAGTTATATAAATTTAAGACATTTTTTGTAGCAATTTTAAAATATATACAAATTTACAGATCGTTGAATCCGTTGCAATATCATTATAATTGTTTTTTTATGTTTTGGTTTATACAAATTAGTTATGAGATTTTAAACTATAACTACTAGGTTGATGGAAACTGAGAGAAGTGGTAGGTATAAATTCAATTGTATGATAAAACATACTTACTTATGTAAAGCCTTATTAAAAAAAAAACAATAAAGAAAGCTTCTCTATTTAGAACAGCTTGAAGGCAGGATGCTTTAACATTATTATTAATTATCATTATTTTGTGTTGCAATGAGACAGGGGTCTGTGATGGAGTGTCCAACACTAATTGACGGCCGACGACCTCCCAGACGTCAAAACAATGCCTCCAATTACTGGTTGTGTTAGTTTCAAGGGTCAGCAGAAAAAAAGTGTTTTTTGATAATTATATTTTTGCAAGACAAAAGATGAAAATTCTCTGCTTAAATAATTAATGAGGGAAATAACGTTTTTGCGTAGCATGTTCATATTAATTATTATTATTCAGATGCGTACATAAAGATTTGTTTTAAATTTGATATCACTTTAAAAATTTATAACTTAAGGATTGGAATTTTGTAAAATTCAATTATTTTCTGCTCGAAAGTTGTGGCTTAATAAAATGTATAGTATAATACATATATGCAGTGGCGTGTTTAGGGGGTGGGCCCGGTGGGCATGTGCCCACCCACATTTTTATATAAGTACTAGACTAGAGTGTAAGTCCAATGCTCAATGAAATTTTAGTATGAGGCGGGGGTAAAACCATTCTGAACTTAATTTTTGTGGCCCATCCACAAAAAAAGTTTATATGGTTAATATATGGTTAAAATTGCATAGATACTAATAATATTGTATAAATATAGTTAAAAAACAATAAMAATTATACTGTAACAATGACTGATTTAAATCTAAACATTTCAATGTCTGTTTTCTTGTACTTTTTTTTATACACTAATTTGGATTCAGGTTCTATAAAACAGACAGAGAAAGCTCATATAGCTCTTATAGGATAAATCTATAAACTATAATTAATTATCGAAACCAAATACATAACATGAGCAATAATGAGTAGGTAGGTACTATTTCTATTCTTAATTTAACATAAAAGTCTAAGGTTTAACTAGTTAATTTTGTCTAATTTTTGAATTGGTAGAAATGTTTATAACTTACATAAAAATAATAACGAATTTCTTGCAGTGCTTTAAATTAATTTTTATCTGCTTATTTATATTTTCTCGTTTAAACTTATCTTGTACTTAAATAGCACTCGTTGAGACATTCTTGCTCTTGTTTTTATTTTAAACCTAGTAGGTATCAAAGTTTAAATATGATTAGCTCAGTAATTGAATTATTCATCGATCATTTGTGGCAGACGTGCCCAACGTGTTTATAATGAAAAAGAGTATATTATTTAATTGAGAGAGCGGAGTTTTTAGCCTTCAGCATAGGTTGATACGTACACTTTCCCGCAAATTATAATTATATAAAAATATAAAAATAAAGGTTTAAAAGTTTGTCATATTATTTATTACATCAGTGATTTTATTAAGTTAACCCCTTAAGTGTATTCAATGGCGGCCAAAGCCGACGCGTTACCATAGCAACCGAACCGTCTTACTTATTATGGCGGCGTCGTTTGCAATGTTTGCGTAAAAATAAAGAGATAAACGATGAGATATTTGCTTTCATATCGAATTAAATGCCACAAGCCCACAAAGGCATAAAATGTTGCATCCGTAGGATAATTGAAATTTATTAGGATTAATATAGTATGTATGACGGTACAGTTTCTTATGGTGAAAATAATTATTTTTATTTTTATATAATCTCTTCTTTCGTAGATATTATTCACTTAAAAAGCTTTGTTTCAATATCGTTCTATATTCATTTATATCGTTGAAATATATGCCACACAATTATGTTTATCACAATATCATCTTATATATTTTATTATATTAATATGGTGTATGATTTTTAATAATACCTGAACACGAGCTTCGGTTAATTGAATTTTAGCTGCTAAATCTTCCCTTGTAAATACATCTGGGTAATGAGTTTGAGCGAATGCCGTTTCCAGTTCTTCAAGCTAAAATAACAAGAATAAAACAATTTATTTGTATAATAATTAGTTATAAGAWAGAATTAAATTTGTTGTGTAACTTAATAAATGCTTGCAATTCTAAGTTTTATAAGAAACATTTTTTTTAAAGCGTTGAAATTTTTTCAAAGCTCATTCAAAATTGTTGAAATATTATGCGTTCGTTAACAACACATTTTTCATTAAGTTACAAATTTTGATAACTTAATCTTTTCGTTTGTTATAAATATATACGCGGTAGTTTCATTAATCTAAGCTTTAATTTAAGACTAAAAAACAAATCATCTGGTTTAGATGTATCTTAAAAACATGAATAGATAAGTAATTTATAATTCTTATCATATTTTTTTTAATTTAGAATTATTTGTAATATAAATAGTATTTTAGATGTATCCATAATCAATATACCATTATAATATATATCCATGTCAAATGAACTAAAAAAATTTAAACACAAGAAAAGTAATAAATGCATTACTAAAAAAAGGAAGTGAGCATATTTGGTAAAAATCTTTCTGTATAGTAATGTATATATCTAATAATTGTTTGTTTATTAATTACTATTATTGTATGGAAGTTTAAACAATAAACATTTCAATTAATGAATATAGTATCTATATAACATGGTAAGAATCTAAGAATGCGTTGTATATTATGACAACTTCGTATAAATATTTTTGAGAACCTACAGTATAAAAAAAAAGTTAACATTTTAAACACACGACATACCTGTTGTAGTGTAAATGTAGTTCGATTTCTTCTTTGTTTACGCCTAACAAACGAATCATCATGAATTGCAGGGTGATACGAATAACTAGTGTCTAAAATAGAACATAATCCATGTATTTTAATTAGTTATAGTATAATATATTAAAATGAGTCCATATTAAGATGTGATATAGTATGAATAATTAATAAACTTCGTTATTAAGTAGACGAAGTAGCTTTAAGTGCACTATAACTGCATACGATTTGTGATTGAAAAATTGGCCAACTGTATGGAATTTTTTTCAAATAAAAGTATAATATCTATTCATTATTAGGAACAAGTTCCTAGAACAGCTATGAAAGTATTACAGAATTGACAACTGTAGTATATACAAATCGTAGTTTACAAGAGTAATTTTTTTATTATTTTTGAATAAATTACAGATAGGTATATGATTATACGAACAAAAATTGTAATAATAATAACATCATCTAAAAATAATTATAGGTACACCATTGCGGCATTGCTCCCTTATGGAATTTTCTATTGCAAGAAAATAATAATTATAACCACGCTCTTTAATTTAACTATTGAGTTTGAAGTAAGGAGAAAAAGTAATGTATAGTTTAGCATTTAAATTGAGATTTTAAGAACATCTACCACATTACAAAGTTAAATATATTATATAATATTAAACTAATATTTAGTTACGTATATATTTTAATAAAAATTTAAAATCAGCAGTTTACTTTAACTATCATTTATAAATCAAGTAATACATTTAGTATTTTGTTTTAATTCAATTTGGATTTGATTACTAAATAATTTATAACAATTATAAAAAGTACGATAATGGAATTGGCTGAATAGGGTATTAGGGTGTTTGGTTTCAGGTTTACAGGATTAAGCGTTTTCAGGAAAAATGGACTCATAATTAGTTTTAAACTGATTTAACAAAAAAATTAAGAATATATTTTTCCTGTAATCAAATTTTTTTTTTGTAAGAAATTTACAATCTGTTCTTATCAAGTACAATAAGAAAATGTGCACAGAACAATCAAATTTAAAATTCAATTCGTTGATATACATATTTTATCATCATTATTACTACTTTTTCAACGATGGGTAGTAATTATAATCAGGTGTTTTGTTTTATTCAGATAATAAACAATTATTATTTTTTATTACTTTTTAATGAAATTAAATTGAATTTTTCTTTAAAATAAAGTGGAAACGAATAACCGGGTATAATTTACTATTTGTAATTTATAAATATCAAGGGATCGTGAAAACATTAGTTGGGTTGTGTAAATCAATGAACCTACCTACTCTCCCTTACTTATACTGTACGTGACTGATGGTGTAAAACTGAAAACGTAGTTAAAGGTCCGTCCCGTCCAGGCAAAATTAGAGTAGGTGGGTTAGGGAAGAGGAATTGCAAAAGGGACTGGAATGATGGTATCCCAGTAAAAGCTATCGTCGCCTAACAACGTTTAACTCCTAAGTGAATCATGGAACAAGACGCCGAGCAGGACCGAGGAGTCCCGAGGGGCTTCGGGACGGATTCTATCCGGAATTTAATTAAGAAGGAATGAACCTAATTACGGATCAAGTGTAGCGGGGATGTGAGGGGTAGTGAGTTTCCTTCAGGATTGCATTATGGAAATTTTCGTTAGCTGCGCCTTTGAAATATTCATACACTGCTCGGTCTGGCACCGGCGTAATGAGCCATAATGGTTTTTCGGCAAAGTGGTGGATATATAGTACCTAAACATTGGAATTACCGAAACGGCGCTTGCGTGTATACTATAGCATAATCAAATATAACTATGCTTCCATGAAGTTATTGGTGATATAACTGATTAGGTTTACACAACAGTTCAAAAATTATAATTTAAAGGTTGTTCGTTATAAATATTTTGTAGTATCTACCTACATTGCTACACAATAGTTATCATAATTAGTATAATTACATTACTTGACTGTGGTTATGGTTGTCATTATTCATTCAGAGGACGCCACACAGGCATTTGTTTTCTCCGTTTTACAAACGCACAACATTACAATTGCTACGTTTACAATAATACGTGTTACTTTGTAATTTCTAAAATTAGAGTGAATTCCCCTCTTATAATTTTTAAAGACAAGAATATCATATGAGGCATCTCGGAGGATTTAATTGATATTATTATTTTTAAGTAAGTTATTACCATTTTTTAACTGTTTTTTGTACATTCTAATACGATCATAACTTACTTAAAAATAATAATATTAATAAAATCCTCCGAGTTGCCATTGATAATATTCTTGTCTTTAAAATTTTTAATAGGTAAATTCACTTTAATTTTAGAAATTATAGAGTAAAACGTATTGTTGTGAACGTAAAATTTGCAATGTTGTATACCTTTGTGAGACGGAGACAACCAACGCCCGTGTGGCGTCCTCTTAATCACTTATATAGTCTTATAGGTATTTTTTTTTTTTT